GGGGGGGGGAAATATGATAGAGGTCTATAAAATCATGAGTGGTGTGGAGAGGGCCGATAAAGAAAAGTTATTTATTAGTTCCCTAAATAGAAGAACTAGAGGACACAAATTAAATTAATGTGTAGCGGTTTTAAAACTAATAAAAGAAAGTTCTTCTTCTTCTTCGTCAACCTATGAAACTCCTTGCCAGAGGAGGCTGTGAAGGCTAGGACTATAATAGAGTTTAAAGAGAAGCTAGATAATTTCATGGAGTCTAGGTCCATAAAAGGCTATTAGCCAGGGGATAAAATGGTGTCCTTGGCCTCTGTTTGTCAGAGGCTGGATGGCAGGAGACAAATCGCTTGATCATTGTCTTTGGTCCACCCTCTCCGGGGCACCTGGTGCTGGCCACTGTTGGCAGACAGGCTACTGGGCTAGATGGACCTTTGGTCTGACCCAGTACGGCCGTTCTTATGTAGCCATCAGGCTTTCTTGCAAAAGAAATTAACTTGGCTGTCTACACTGGCCCTCTTGTGCAAGAATACTTGCTCAAGGGGGCTTATCTCTGAGCGGGAGCGTCGGAGTATTTGTGCAAGAACCACTGATTTTGTACAGTACAAAGTCAGTGTTCTTGCGCAAATACTTGCGGCCAGTGTAGGCAGGCGGCAAGATTTTGCACAAGATTTTTGCACAAACAAAGATTTTGCGGTGGCTTTTGCGCAAAATCTTGCCAGTCTAGACGCACCCTTTGTGTTGGGCCATTTGTCATTGGTAGGGGCTGCTGCAGGGCTCAGTCTCATCTGGAGCAATGCCACTGTTCAGCTATAGGAAGGTTTGGCAGAATTTAACTTTATTTGATGCATAATTTCAAGGCAATCCATGTTTCTTTTGAAACTTTTTTTCTTAAAACTTTAGTTGTTGAAACACACGAAGTAAATGTCCTTGAATCATGTCCTTGAATCAAACCCTAAAAAGCTGTCAGGCAGCATTTTCTTACATTGCCTACTTGTACATGTCAATTAGTATTGACGGAAATATGGTTTTGTTGGGTTTTGCAGTGGAGCCAGCAGCCACCACAGGCCCCAAGGCAGGGTGTGTGTGTGAGGGGGAAGGCTCCATGCTCCAGAGGGTGCAGGGCCTAGGATGGAAGTGATGGAGCTGAGGGCAAGTCAGCCCTCCGTGCTGCCCAGAGCATGGCACCCCTCTCCCCCAGCCTTCAGAGTCATGCGGAGCGGCGCTCCAGCAGCAGTGGCAGCCAGGAGCCCTTGGCAAAGCAGTAGTGGCAGCCAGGAGCCCCTTTACATTGCCAGGCCCTGGGGTAATTGTCCCCTTTGTTCTGCCCCCTCCTGTCGGCAGGCCTGGGGTTTTGTGTGCATGGTGAAATTTCTGGAAGATCATTCTACCCAGCACAGCAGTTCTTACTCAGCAGATACCCTAATGATGTCTGGACTGAGCAAGGAGTGGGCTGTTAATATTTGTGGTTATGGACCCTACACTTCCAATTTACTAGAGAGCAAGATTAAATGTGTCTCTCCTTCGAGTACCGATTTTTCTGTGATTCACAAGTATTTTTACCTTGGTGCTTTCTTCCCTAATGGGGCAGGGTGAGGGTTTCCTTCAGTTCCACTCCTAGTTCATCCACTGGGATTGCTGTGCAAGGCTTTCCTTTCACTAGGAACTATATGAACTGTGTTTGCAGCTCTCCCATCTCTTATAAATGCTGGAAAAAATCAAGCCTGAGATTTAAACATGGATCTCTCTTACAGTAATGTAAAGTGCTCACTACTGATCACGGGTTTGACAGTATAGTTTAAATTATGTCTGTCAGTGAAATTAATGTGTTTGACTGTTGTCATCTTTCAGCAGCTTCTGAAGACCTTTGCAAGAACCCTCTGAGCATGGAGGACCTCATCTGTTATAGCTTCCAGGTGGCCAGAGGGATGGAGTTCTTGGCTTCACGCAAAGTAAGCCTCTGTTCAGAAAAATGCCATCTTTCTTACCGTTAACCATCATAGAAAAGAATCTTACCAATTTATAGAAGGAAGTAATATTTTGCCATTGGACTGGCAACCATTCACAACATTTTCTGATTGCTCCAAAAATATCAGAGCCATTAATACGACAAAGTGAAACAGTCTATGTGTGGTGCTTTGAGTGACATGAATGTTAGCAATTTGTATAAGATTCATTGTTCATTATTCATAGTAGAATGATTAATGACTGAAGGGAATGACCTTTGCGAAAAGATTAAAGGAACTAGGGACCAATTCCTGATAAATGGAGTCAAGATAGAATAAAAGGGCTTTGCTCTGAAGAATTGCACCTCATTCCACGGGGAGTAACGGTAGTTCGAATTAGCCTAATTCAAACTACCTACTCTGTGCCGCGTGTAGCTGCGGGTACGGAGTCTGCACTAAGGGGGATTTAAAAATGGCGGCGCCCGGCAAGATGCAAATGAAGCCCGGGATATTTAAATCCCGGGCTTCATTTGCAACTTCGAATGCCTACATTAGCCACCCTAGTTCGAACTAGGGTGGCAGTGTAGACATACCCTCAGAGACATTGGAGTCTAAGAGATGCATATGTATGGGTATTGTCAGTTTCCCCTTAGTGGATCTCTGCCTGGCCTTCTGACACAAAGAAAACACAGTATTTCAGCCCTGTACAGATGCCCCATCAAGATTTGATCCTAACTAGTTATAATGGGATGAAACAATAGCTAATCATTTGCAAATATTCTGAAGGTTGTAAGCACCAAGAAGAAAGAGTAATTGTTTAAGGTGATACCAGGCATAAAAAAAAGAGTACTGGGTAATATGCAAAGGAAAAATTTAAGCTGGATCACTGGACACATAAGATGATGGTGGTGTGTATTAGAATGTGAGATAGTCTCCCAAGAAATATTGGAGAGTCCCTTTTTGTTTTAGTCATTTAAAAGTGTTTTTGTCAAGGCCTGAAAAATATACAGGTTGCACCTCCCTCATCTGTCACCCCCAGTCCCTGACTGGTCCCAGATGAGGGATTTTGACGGACCAGGAGAGGACATTTTTGGACCCTTGCCACTGGCCTCCCGACTTAGCTGCTGACCTCTCGGCTCAGCTGCTGGCCTCTCGGCTCAGCTGCTGGCCTCCCAGCCAGCTCCCCAACTCCTGCAGGCCCCACTATCACACATTGGGCAGCCCCCCCCCCCCCATCAGCTCCCTACAGGCAGCCCACTGCCCTGCCAGCCCTGCAGGGATCCTTACTTTTTGCCTTCCACTGGGACTCTGTTTCCTGCAGCATCCATGCCGGACCATGGATGTTGCTGGACCAAAGGATCCCAGTTATGAGAGTTTCAACCTGTTTTTCGAAGAACAATCCTGCATGTGTAACCTACTGGTCATGTAGGGTGTGTGTTGTGTCCCCTTCTGTGCCTGATTTATAGAGCATGAACACTGGTTACACCTCCCAGCTACAGAGCCTGCTTCTGTAGGTCAAGCTGTAGAGAGGCTAGTGATTTACTTCTGGATGTCCCTGGTGCATTGTCCAAGATGGTGGCTGTCACACAGGCAGAGGTAGAGATGTGCTTTTCCAACTTTGTTCCCAACAGAGAATAATCTCAACATTGGTCCTGTTGTATGACATTTTTCACCAAAATATATTAAAAAGGGTGAAATGTCATAGATGCGATGGGGAATGTGGTTTGAATAGAGGCAAAGTAAAACTGTGGTAATGAGATCCTGACCTGTTTTGTATCAACTTCCTGGGATAATTAATTGGCTAACCTCAAAGGCCATGGCTGCTTATTGGCTAAACAGATGTGTGTTTGGACTTGGCCCAGAAAGACTTTTGTTTTCAGGTCAATTATAATCATCAAAAAGCCACTTAAAAACCAGTAACTCTGTTGACATTGGGGGTTATTTTACTTATTAGGATTTAAGAAATATCTGGCCTCTGAGGGAGAGGTCAGCACAGATGTGAAATAGATTAACTCTCTGAGTAGAGCTGCAACAACAGCAAACTTATAAACTTGTTTTCTTCTTCTTTTTTGCAGTGCATCCATAGGGACCTAGCTGCCCGTAATATCCTCTTATCCCAGAATAATGTGGTTAAAATCTGTGATTTTGGCTTGGCAAGAGACATTTACAAAGACCCAGATTATGTCAGAAAAGGAGATGTAAGTTTTGGAAAATAAATCTTTAATTTAAATGATGCTAACTATTCTATTTTACTATGCAGTTTTGGGAAATAAAGTTCTCTTCTTCCTGTCTCTTACTAAAGCTTAATTATTTTTTAAAATGCTTTAAGGCCAGATTACCGCTAAAATGGATGGCACCAGAAACAATTTTTGATAGAGTATATACTATTCAGAGTGACGTATGGTCCTTTGGCATTCTGCTGTGGGAGATATTTTCATTAGGTAAGTCACTTCTATTTTCCACTGAACCTCTTTTTAATTTTAACAGTAGAGCTGGTTAATAAAATAGTGAAATATTCTGGGAGAATTTTCTGAAAGTTTTGACTTTCCACATGTAAAATTCTCTAATTGCCTGGCTTGTTCACATAGCAGTAATTTCATGTACAAATCATTTGGTTGAAAATCAGCACCAGAATTTTAAATGTTTTCTTTAACAAAAAAAAAAAGTGCATCCATTATCATTTCAGGAGCTTCGCCATATCCTGGTGTAAAAATTGATGAGGAGTTTTGTAGACGACTGAAAGAAGGAACAAGGATGAGAGCACCGGACTATACAACACCAGAAATGTAAGAACTTACAAATATGCTTTATAGTAATAGCAATAATCTGAATAGGTCAATATGCCCTCCTCATTGCCCTGACGTTGTCATGATTTTATCTATCCCACTAGATATCAGACAATGCTGGACTGCTGGCATGGAGAACCTAAGCAAAGACCTACTTTTTCTGAATTAGTGGAGCACCTGGGAAATTTATTGCAAGCCAATGTTCGTCAGGTACGTGGAATATAGATACCATGCCCATATCACAATTTTCTGTAAATGAAGCAGTGGTGCCTTTGTTGCGCCATCGTTACACCACATCAGCGGGGGAGCTGAGGCTGATGGGATGGGCCAGGTTCACAGAGATCTGTGATAGTAACACAACTTGTTCCATGTGTACTTCTCCCTCCCAGCCAGGCTTCCCACTGTCCCCTCAGATTGTCCAGCTGTATCCTATACCCCACTTCATTTGCTTAGGTCCCACTTCCCACTGACTACTTGGTGCTTGTTAACTACACACATGCCAGTGGTAAGAACATCAGTGTAGAATTCAGGGGACTTCCTGTGGGACCCCTGACAAGTTAGTTAGTTTCTCTGACTCAGTTGTCCATTTGTAAAGTGGAAGTGATAGCACTTCCCTGTCTCTCTGAGGTGCCAGGAGGAAAAAGACGTTAAAGACTGATAGGTGTTCAGTTACTGTGCTGGTGGGACCATATAAATAACTAAATAAACACTCATTTCTGTGGATTTCCTACCACTTGACTTGTGTGTGTGTGTGTGTGTATACATAATTTATATAAATTCAACTGAGAAATGAATCTTGAAAAAAGATCATAATAATCCTCTAGGCCAATTTACTTACAAGAATATGATCATTTTAACATACTGCTTTATCTTTGGTACTTTAATGAATTAGACATTCCTTGTAAAAATAATTTGTCTCTGTACATCAGTGAGGAGACTTCAGCAACTAGAAATTAGACAATACCATTATCCTATAGGTACACTGTCTGTATACAATTAATTTTTAAAAATCCTTATTGTTACATCATTTTAGACTATTTGCCATTGAAATATTTTAAACTTTTTGTTATCTTCACTTATTGCTCATTTTTTTTGCCTTTTATTTCACTCAGGTCAGTTTCATTTTCAGTTTATGGTTGATTTCCCTTTCCCGTTCTCCTGGCCTAAAATGACATTGTGTCATTTGGGTTTCAAACATGACAGGAAGCTTACATTTGTAACTGAAATAAAACATTAAAAAGTAAACATTTCATTTCCTGTCTAGATCTGTAAAACCATTAGAAAGTCTATCTTTATAATCTAAGCCTCTTTGACAGTGTCCCTTCAAGTTCAAGTCTTTTGATTTGTGTCAGCAAATATAACATAGTGAACAGTCCAATAAAGCAGCCCCCATAGCTTCAATATTATTGTAAGAATTCTTATTTACAGTTTTCCTCTGACTTTTTTTCACTGTCTCCTACAGGATGGTAAAGATTACATTGTCCTTCCTCTAACGGTATCACTGAACATGGATGAGGATTCTGGACTCTCTTTGCCAACCTCACCTGTTTCCTGTATGGCGGAAGAGGAAGTCTGCGATCCTAAATTCCATTATGAATAC